GGAGTTGAAAACTGAACGAGTGCCCCCTTCCTATGAGAGATGCAGGTGAAGGCAAGAGTGGTGTACTCCCCACAGTACCTTAGTATAGTATGCATACTTCATGAGAAAACAATGCCAATTCTTACATTTTAACACTATCAACCACAAATATTATTACCACATATTTTAATATAGTAAATACAATTACTATACTGTGCACTTACTCAGTATGATTTTCCAGCGAACTCAAAACTGAACGACATGCGTGTGCCTTTCTTGTGCAAGATGCCGGTGATGCAGCCACAGCCCTAAACGAAAATTTAAACGGTTTCAAACATTTCAGCGTCATTTCTCCATAAGACACGGGTATAACACATTCAGAATATTTACACCAGAGCAGATATTCATGAACAGAAGCTTAGTTACATTCATAAACACAAGCATGATTTGCATGTAGGCCTATACAATCCAAAAACTATAGTTATAAACATATATAGCTATATTCGTGAACAGAGAATATCCCATCACAAGTTTTGACTAATCATTCTTACTGACATAAGGCTAGTAACATTATAACTCATATTACTTTTATATCGTATTTCTGTCTGTTATAGAACATAAAAAAACATCCTGGCATCGTGACATTTAGATGCTGTGAATGAAACTTCATAATGTTTCACTTGATTATACATTTAGTCATGAATTATAGTTTGGAGAAAGTCTAACTAGTAAAATGTGTACAAGTTATGTGAAAACTAATACAAGTAGGTTAATAAAAAAGACTCTTGTTTTTTTCCTGAGGTAATCCAAAGCTTCTTGATGTGAATTCTGTCTTATTCCTCTCAGCGCGACGCGAACAGTAAAACTTGAGGTCTTGCTGCTTTGTTTGCTGTGATGTGGGCGTTTACACGCCGCGCGCTTCACGTGGATGATTATAATATCAATAGCGCTCAGCGCGTGGGCGTGGTCGCATTAGAGATAATGAAGGTAGATGTGAAAGACTGGACATCGCGTTGGTTTCATATGGATTACTTTATCACAGAATATTTGCTTTCGATAAGAGAAATCTTTGTTGAGTATTTGCTGAGTTACAGTTCATTTTAATGACGCGTTTCTAAATAAAGATTACACAGACCAAGGCGGCAGACAGCACACCCCGTTTGTTTTCTTTATTTTATAAATGCACAAAGTTCTGTTGTTATTATGTGAGTATACAAATAAAAGTAGACCCTTTACAGATTCGATTGATGTATTGCTCTTATCTGTAAGATCAAAACTGAAAGTGTCATTTAAGTTCTTTTCGGTGTTATCAGGAGAAGATGCCTCAAAACGCGTATCCGCGTTAATCGACTTCAGAGGGTTAAAGAAGTTGTTACAGGTCTGTGAGAGCCAGAAATCTTGCTTGTTTGTAGGTGACCAAATACTTATTTTACCGAGGAATTTACCAATAAATTCTTTAAAAATCCTACAATGTGATTTTCTGGATTTTTTTTCTCATTTTGTCTCTCATAGTTGAGGTATACCTATGATGAAAATTACAGGCCTCTCTCATATTTTTAAGTGGGAGAACTTGCACAATTGGTGGCTGACTAAATACTTTTTTTTGCCCCACTGTATATTGAAAATAACAGAGGACCTAGGACAGATCCTTGTGGCACTCCATACTTTACTGGTGATAATTGAGGTGACTCCCCGTTTAAATAAACAAAGTGGTAGCGATCGGTCAGGTAGGATAAAACCATCTTAAAGCCTGACCTTGAATACCTGTATATTTTTGTAATCAATCTATGAGTATGTCATGATCTATGGTGTCGAATGCAGCACTAAGATCAAGTAAAACTAGCAATAAGATGCAGCCTAGCCTAAAAAACTAGCGATTTCTGTGCTATGGTGGGGCCTGAAACCTGACTGAAATTCTTCATAGAGATCTTTTTTTTGCAGGAAAGAGCACAATTGAGCAGACATAAACGGAAGATTTGAAATGGGTCTGTAATTTGCCAGTTCGTTAGGATCTAGTTGTGGTTTCTTAATAAGAGGCTTAATAACCGCCAGTTTGAATGGTTTTGGGATGTGACCTAAAGATAACGACAATTTAATAATATTGAGAAGCAGTATTCTATGTCTTATGAGAAGGCACTTGTGACTTTTCTTACTTCATACTCAAAAAAAGTGTCAAATTCTGACAAAATCTGATTTATTGATAATTTGATATTTTATAATAGTGATTTTATAATTTCAAAATATAGAGAAAAAGTAGAAATGAATCACTAATAAGCCAACAAGTGCTCCTCTGCTGCCGTCTACTGGTTATAATTGTGATTTAATGTCTTTTTTAATTTTAAATTAAGTGTTTGTTTACCACAAAGTATATTTTGGTCATCAGGATCATTTTAGAGCTTTAAAGTGCTGGAAATAGTTGTGTGAAATGCTTGAAAGTCATTGAAAAGTGCTTGAATTTCTCTCTCAAAAGGTTGTACAAACCCTGCAATGAATGATGTAATGTATTCGACTATTTCTAAATCAACACCATGGTTACAGTTAAGCATTACAGCTTCTGGTTTCCTGGCGTATGTCAGCGCTGTTTATAACAGAATTCTGTGCAGAATTTGAATGATTCTCACTAGATCTCGCAGCGCTGTTGTATCTGTGCAGTAACAGTGTCACAAAATCAATTTTGGCTCCCGAGTAAGCTGTTCTGAGCTCGGACAAGTTTGTTTGCATCGCGGTGTGAGCTGATAAACAGTCCGCGCTGCGCAGCTGAAACGTAGCGGTTTAGTTTCGCTTTCGTTTCGTTTGCCGTTTGATGTTTCTTAAATGCAACAGAAATGGTAGCGCTTATGAGTTGGACAATATGGGAAGCGAAACAACCCAAATGTGGGACGAAACGGCGCGGTATTCAAGTGTTCGCGCCGCGCTGACCTGTCATAGGCGCGGCTCAATGGACCGAGCGGCGCCACCGACTCGACAGCGCAGAGAGGACGTTTTTACTAGCGCCACCGAGCTGACAGTGCGGCGCGGATATTTCAAGCATAATCATATGCTACAGTTACACAAATATCCTTAAATGTAAAATTTACTTAAATATGCCTTGATGAACGAAACCATAAAATATTTGAATTCTAAGAGGATAATGGAAGTTTCTGCTGTGAACATGACTGCTAAATATAGGCTATACGTGCTTCAAAGTAGCTAACACTACTGTTTACATGTAGTAATATGAAAGATAATAAGCAAAAGAAATGTAATAACTCATTATGTTATGTGCAGGAAAAAAACACGAACTTCTGCGGAGAGTAATGTTCGCACAGTAGGTGGCGGTAATGCACCTTAACGTTGGATTCCACCTGCCTTAAAACATGAAGAAGAAGAAGAGTAATGTTCGCGCTGTGCTTTTGTAACTGATCCGCGCCGCGCTGTCAGCTCGGTGGCGCTAGTAAACACGTCCTCTCTGCGCTGTCGAGTCGGTCGCGCCGCTCGGTCCATTAATCCGCGAACATTTGAATACCGCGCCGTTTCGTCCCACATTTGGGTTGTTTGGCTTCCCATAGGACAACGCGGTGGTCGCGCCAGTGCATCCACTCACAAAAATTAGTGGCACTGGCAGAAAAAATGGTCGCAAAATAATCCAGTATGGAGCCCTAGTGAATGAACTTTGGTTTGATTGGTTATTCAGACGTTTTATTTTTTGTTTTAATTGGTGTTAAATCTTTTTGAAATTGGTGTTGATGTTGTGAGTGTTAATGTTCAAAGAGTGATGACTAAATAGGATTTAATTCAAAACACAATAGAGTTATTGCCACAAAAGACAATAGAGGGTATTTTATAAATATTATACATTTATTATAAATATAATTACATTATGCATTAATTAAATCTGAACAGGAAAGTATCTTACCTTTTCCACAAAGGAAACTGTCATCAAATCTCTGAAACGAAAGAAAAAGTACAAGTTAGTAACACATGGTGTGTACATTTTAGTGTCACTGCATTTATATGAAAGCAATTATTTTCTTTTTGTGTTTAATACAGTTAAATCTTGTTCTTACCTCAACATTGATTGTCTGATTTTGTTCTCTTGAACTCTTGTTGCACCATCTCTCTCTTTGGACAAACCTAGTCTTTTGAGTTCACTGGTCCAATTGCAGAGTCAACCCGAAATTTGTACCACAGGTGTGGGTTACACATGGCACAGTGCGTTTTTCTCTAACCTTTTTTTCAATTTGATGGGGGCAACAGCTTCTAATGTATTAGAGAAGATAGTACCCATGTTGCTAGTCATTTAGTCTAGTTCATGTGTATTTATGGGTACACAGAGCAGTTGAGATAAATCAGGCAGGTTATTTGTGAATCTGTCTTTGGTGGCTGGAAAAATAGTGGATGATAACGTTAATATCAGTAATACGCAGCATGCATGATACAAGGAAATGGTCAGTAACATCATCACTTTGAAGTACGTTATCTATAGCAGTAAGATCAATTCCATGCGATATAATTAAATCTAGCGTATGATTAAAACGATGAGTGGGCCCGGTGACGTTTTGCTTGACTCCAAAATAGTTTATTGGGTCAGTAAACGCAAGTCCTAATGCATAATTTGTGTTATCAACGTGAATGTTAAAATCTCTGACAATTAGCGCTTTATCAACAGTAACCAACATGTCTGAGAGGAAATCTGCAATTTTTTTTAGGAAATCTGTATACAGCCCTGGTGGTCTATACACAGTAGCCAGAGCAAGAGATACAATAGATTTATTTTGCAAATCTGACAATGTAACATTAAGCAGAAGTATTTCGAATGAGTTAAACCTGTATCTTGTTTTTTGAGTAACATTGAGAATATCACTATATATTGTTGCAACACCGCCGCCACGACCAGTCTGACAAGGCTCATGCTTATAACAGGGTGACTGTGATTTCACCAAGTACAACATGTTACTGGATCAACATCCTTGTTGATCCTGGAACAACATTCAAATTAACCAATCAGAATTGAGGGATAACTTTTCAGGAAATATCTGTTTTAGGCTTACGATCAGGGAATCACCCTTGTAAATGAGCTATCATTTCACACTGATTTTAGAAATAAATTATGGGTAGGTTTAGGTTTAGGGGTAGGGATTGGGTTTAGTCTATATTTTTGGACAGTAATGTTGATCCAGGATCAACAAAAGATGTTAATCCAGGAACATGTGTTACTTGGCAAAATCACAGCGAGCTTATAACAGTAGCTTGGTGGAGTAGATTAATTTAGAGCAATATAATCATTTGATTTTAGCCAGGTTTCAGTCAAGCAGAGTACATCAAAACTATTATCTGTGATCATTTCATTTACAATAACTACTTTGGGTGTGAGTGATCTAATGTTTAGTAGCCCAAACTTTAAAAATTGTTTAAAAAAATTATTTTAAATTTTTCTGGTTTAATCACGATCAGATTTTTCCATCTCGATTAGGCTCCCGAAGTCCCTCTTCAAGTGTCTCCGTCTGCCACAGCTTGGTGTCATTAACCCCCGTGTGAAGCACGACCGCTCCGGTGCTCTCGTAGCTATCTGCGCAGAAACATCGAGAACACGAGCACCAGGGAAACAGTGAGTGTGCACTTTACCTTCAGCTAACGTAGCACGGACGTGCCGGAAGATGGAGTCTCCGATGATCACACGCATTCATGACCTCTAGACTGGACTATTGTAATGCACTGCTCTGTGGTTGTCCTGCATCTTCAATAAGCAAGCTACAGGTAGTCCAAAATGCAGCGGCTAGAGTCCTTACCAGGTCAAGAAAATATGATCATATTACCCCAATTTTACAGTCTCTGCACTGGCTACCTATTAAGTTCCGCATCAGTTACAAAATATTATTACTTGCCTATAAGGCCCTTAATGGGTTAGCTCCTGCGTACCTAACTAGTCTTCTACCACGCTACAATCCATCACGCTCCCTAAGGTCGCAAAACTCTGGACTTCTGGACATACATTTGTATGTGTCGCTGAGCCCTCCCCCGCGCTTGTGTTTCTCTTCTCCTAGTTGCGCGGAGGTAGAAATGACGAACTCGCAGGTATGAATGATCAGGCTTGAGTGATTTAATGCCAGCAAAGCCCCCGCATGCATCACTCTCCACGCAGCTCTTTGATCTGCCAGTGTGTTTACATGTGGGGATCGGCACCCCTCATTGTCGAGCGGCTCAATCCTCCTGGGCGGTTTGGAGCAGAACGCTGTCACCAATGATTCAATATCGCTGACAGCTTTGTATTTGAACGCGCCTCTTGTCTGGACCACGCCCACGCTGAGGCTGTGCTGCTGAGACAGACCGCTCTTACAATGAGAGTTCATGTCTTGCTCTGCTTTGCTCACGGCCTCATCTGCTACGAGCGGATTTGAGAGAATGTGCGCAGCATTTTTGATCTGCCAGAGTGTTTACACGCAGTAGTTACACTCTTCTAACGAGTGGTTTGATCTTTTTAGGTGGATTAAAAGAGAATGCTGTCACTAATGATTATCACTGACAGTTTCAAATTAAACGCGTCTGGGCCACGCCCACGCTGAGGCTGCGTGCACGGGGGCTGACTGCTCTGCTATGAGAGCACTGAGTCTAGCGAAGCATTTTTTGAAAGCATTTTCAGGGAAAGCTAATTTCCTTTTCTGAGTGTGGGGTCCCCATACGGCAACCAGCCTCTCAATTTAATCCAACCCCTTGTCACATGGGCTGAGGCCTGTCGGGCCATCCCTGTAGTGCCAATCTGGGTGTTGGAGATAATAAAACGAGGTTATTCACTGCAATTCGCTCGAATACCCCGCAATTCAGCTGCGTGGATCCCACCTCAGCTTAGAGCAAAGACGCACACGTCCTGCGTTCAGAGGTGATTAATTTGCTGGCGATAGGAGCCGTAGAAACTGTTCCCCCAGCTCAGAGCCAGTCAGGCTTCCACAGCCACTACTTCCTCATCTCCAAAGAGGATGGTGGCCTCCGGCCCATCCTTGATCTCAGACACCTGAATAACGCCCTCATGAAAAGGTCGTTTCAGGATGACTATGCTGAAATAGATCCTTGTGAGAATTTGCTCAGGAGACTGGTTATTTTCGCTGGATACATACTGGCTCCCCACACTTTTACGAAGTGCATGGATGCGGCTTTCTCCCCTCTGAGACAGATGGGAATCTGCATTCTCAATTACCTCAATGACTGGCTCGTTCTGGCCCAGTTAGAGGCAGAATTAATATCACACAGGACCCTCCTCCTCAGCCACCTGGAGTGCCTGGGACTCAGGGTCAATTTTGCCAAGAGCTCGTTGTTCCCCAGCCAGTGAATATCGTTCCTGGGAACAATTTTGAACTCAGCCCAAATGAGAGCTGTAGTCACGCCGGAACGGGCTCTGGCCATACGGAGGCTGGCGACCTCCTTCGAGATTGGTACCACTCGCCCTCTCAAAGAGTTTCAAAAGATGCTCGGCCTCATGGCAGCGGCATCGCCAGCGCTACAGTTTGTTCTGCGTGGCGTCACAGACGCCTGCAGATCAGGGTGAGTCAGGCCTGTGTAACAGCCCTGGTCTCCTGGAAGAACTTCCGCTGGATGGAACTGGGCGTGGCCATGGGGATGGTTTGCAGAAGGACAGTTGTCACGACAGACGCCTCCAACTAAGGCTGGGGGGCGCTGTGCGAGGGCATACCGACTTTCGGCCCTGGTCGAAGGCGAAAAAAGTCTTCCACATCAACTGCCTGGAAACGCTAGCAGTTTGTCGAGCCTGTCGCCAGGGAGGCCTCTCCTCGAAGCGTTTCTTCACTCTTGTAGAGTGCTTCTTAGAATGTGCTCAACTCAACCTGCGCTCGCTGAGAGCAGCGCATATACCTGGCAAATTGAACCAAGGAGCGGACATGCTACCAAGGAGCAATGTACCCTCAGCGGAGTGGACGCTCCATCCGCAGACGATTCAGAGGATCTGGGAGATCTTCGGCGAGGCCGAGGTGGACCTCTTCGCCTCAGAAGACGACTCTCACTGCCCAATTTATTTCTCAAAGTCCAGGGACACGTTGGCCCACGATTGGCCCAACCTCCTTCTTTATGCGTTTCCCCCGATCGCTCTGATTCCACAGGTAATCAGGTGAGTAAGGGAACAAAAACACAAGGTTCTCCTAGTGGCCCGCCTTTGGCTGAACCAGCTGTGGCTATCAGAGCTAACTCAGCTATTGATAGCGGCCCCTTGGCCTGTTCCG